ATGGGTGACTACTGAGTGTAATGACAAAGATTTAAAACTGTGTTTTAGTATGTACATTTAAAATGTTTAACAGCTAATTACTGTACTTGTTGAATAATTGTTTCCGTTGGTTTCTGTTTTGTGAAATCTAGAACATGCTGCATGTAAGAATGGTAGGTGCTTCAAGCGACAACATATTTGGTCAATAATTCAGGGATTTTTTTTTCTTTTTTGTTGTTGCGTCTTTTAATGCTTTGGCCATTTATTCATTCATCATCTATCATAAGAGCTAACTGCAACAGTGACCCCTTGTGAATGAGGGATCAGCCTAACTTATTTACTCTTTGTCAAAACTCATTCGCCAGGAGGAACGGAGATAATTTGGCAGTTTTTACAGAAAACAAATAGATCAAGAAAGGAGAAGAAAATTCCTGAAAATCTGAATGAAACATCAGGATATGTCCAGGAACACACATGGATAAAATCCAAAAAGAAAATCAAGGAAAGAGAAACAGAAATAAATCCCTGGATGGCTTAAGATAAGAAAACCTTTATTAGTCCCATGCGTGGGAAATTTCACACTTGAATGAGCTCAACGATTTGAAAATTAAACAAGAAATGTCATTAAACTAATATTCAGGCTCTCTTCATAATTCATCATCCATGCATGTCACACTCCTCAAAGAGTCCAGGGAAATTCAGAAATATGTTAAGGCTGAAAAAGCTGACCAAATAATACTTTACATGGATTTATGCAAATGAGTGCATGCGATGTGGGAGGGACGCTGCAACCAGGGAGAACAGAGCAAGTTTTTTGTGTTGAGGATAAGTTCAACCTGATTACTCCTGTAAGAAGATTTGCAAGCTGTGGAATACATTTCTGTTATATCTTTTCACATCGCAGTCCCGTGGAAGTTTTTCTTCTTCAAACTAATGTAGGCTACACGAATGAAGCACGGGAAAACTGGTCTCAAGGTTATACAAATTCTCTTCTTAAATGAAACCCAAACAGGGTAACCTTAAATGCACCATGATTTTACTTTACAAGTTCATAAACATTTTTTTCTTTCCACTTAACAACCAATTCTATCCCCAGGTCAAAAATACGTACCCGAAAAATACATGTTCAAAGCAACACAACGGTGGCCCAAAATCAGACTGTGAACTCTACTCTGTGGAGTGGAAATTCATAAAGAACCAGTTCATTTTATTTTGTAGATTAAAGCTGTTCTTCATATTTTGGGGCATCTGATGTCATCAGAGAAGACTGTGTTGAACAGCTTCGAATAAAGAGCTTCAGAAAGCTTCATTTGACCATCACTTAATCATTTCCTTACGAACCGTTAAATCAGGTACCGAAACAGTTAAGTTCTAAAGAATTCTTCGACGTCACTGATCACGTGACTCTGGCCAAACAAATCACACTTTGAGACAGTGATTCTGAAGCATACGCGCGGAGCTTTAAGCTTTCAGCGGGCTAACGCTAGCTTTTAGTGTTCGGGTGTGGAGTGGAGCTTGCTGTTCGTGTCTCTGTGCGAAGAAACTGTAAGTTTGCTTTGTTTCCTCCTTTAACAGTTTGTCTTCATGAACTTTACTATTAGTTCAGCTCATGTTTGATTTCTTAAAACAACAAACTGTTTTTATTTTCGGAACAAAACCGTCGTTTCCTAAACAGTCAGCCCGTTGTAACTCGGCCGAGTGTGTCCGCCATTTCCTGTTACTGTTTGTGATCCAGGAATCAGACTAAACACGGAGTTCGGCCGCTGTTCCACAGTAACTGCTGGCAGATTAACCCGTGTTCGGGTCTGTGAGACCCGCACTCAGTTTTTTTCAAAAGAAAAATTAAACAGTTAATATTTTTTAACCTGAAATTCATTGGCTTAGGCTTATTTTCTGTGAAGAACATAAATCCGAACTAATTTTCAATGACCTCATACTGTACCTCCCCCCACGCATTTACATTACATGCAAGGTGTTCGGGTCCACTGGACCCAGGTCTAATAAAAGTGTTGAAAGTGCAGGTCCTGTGTTCCCACACTCTGTCTTCCTCTCTGGTGCTGCTGATAATGTTTTCTTCCCCTCCTGCTCCGCACAAACACCGTCTGCTCTGACATTCCCACACATTTTACCCTCTTTCTTGAGGGATCCAAATTTTATTTTCTCATACCCTGTCCCACCTGCAAATTAGGGGCATAATGCTGTAAATAAGACTTTGCCAGTGTGGTTCTTTATCACAACTGATCGAGATGGCAAAAGATTATCTGCTGCGAGGGCCTTATTGATTTTGGAAGAGAGAGGGGCTTCTGATGATGATGCCGGGGAAGAAGTTTCAGAATATGAGGATCACATTTTTTGTCTGACAGTGACTTTGAAGAAGAGGGTGAGGTTGAGTG